ACCTCTGCATGCTAAGTACCATGGTAACTGCGTTACCTATGTCATGTCATCTCTAACAGGATTTAATAGCAAACAGTAATGCTGCATTGTCCAATATATAAATTAAAAAGTTTTCTGACACACTAAATGGAACCAAGAAAGCATTAAGCAGAGGCTTTTTTTCTCCTTTCCCACTGACCATTTATATTAAAGTCAAATGGTACACGGGTCAAGAATTTGGAGTATATCACATTTTATACATTTGAATTTTAGATCTGAAGAAATGTTGAGTTATCCCTCTATTTAGACAATTAAAAATCTTGAAAGTATTTGATAATATCAAGAAAAGTTAAAGAACTAATATATTTTAAATCAACTGTCAACAAGAAATAATTTCTAAGTATTTAGGCATTAAACATTTAGCATGTGTACATCTTCTATGGATGTGCTTTCTGTGTCATTTAAAACTATTTTAATAATTACAGACTTGTAACACTTGTATTCTCAAAATCGTTTGTCAGTAGTTTTTTCTAAAAAAGTTTTAATGTCCTGCATAATTTAAAAAAATGATAGTTTACCAATAACAAAAACACAGTTCTTTCTCTGTGGGGCTCAAACTCATTTCATGATGGAAAACAACTTAGAGCCCCATTCAGTCTCCATCCTTGAACATGCAATGGCCTTGAATTAATGGTAGATCATAACAGAATCCACGTATGAGGTTTTATATGTTTTATCCTTAAAGATATCCTTAAAAGAAGGAAAACGTAATTTTCTATCTCCTAAACTGATCCCTAAGTATGTAGACTAATCTTATAATTCTTGAACATCTTCAATAATCACTGTGGAATACAAGAGGTTGCAGTCATTTCTGAGAGGTGTTTATTAATAATAAAGACTGCAAAACCATGAGTAAAACCCCAATATTCTAATGGTCTAACTTCTAACATAATCCAGGGTCAGCAATCTATTGCCCAAGGGCTGTCTGGCCTGCTGACTATTTTTATAAATAAAGTTTTATTGGAACACAGTCACACCCATTTGTTAAATTATCTAAAGTTGCTTTTGTGCTACAACAGTAGTGTTGAGTGGTTGTAACTATCTGGCCCAAACTATAAACCCTTTGAAAATTCTGAAATCATTATATAAAGGCTGTTTCCCTTACTTTCAGAGCTGTGTTAACTCTTATTAAACAACAACAATAAAGTTTAATGAACTTGCTAAAGGACTTCATTGGGCTAGAGAGATTCGGTGAGGGGTTTGCAAGGAAAGGGAGACATTTTAACATTTGTACCACAGAAGCTGAAGTCACATTGGTTAATTTGGAAAAAGGACATAGAACTGGTAGCAACTCTTGGACATTTAATGTCCGCATCTACAAATGCCAGAGAGAGTCGGCCTAAATGATCTTTAAGCTTTGCAATCTTCATGATTCTCTGAAATGACTTCAGTAAATCCATAAGCAAACTCAGAACCACATGAGCACACAACTTAATAATAAATGTTTCATGGCACCTGCCTAAGGTGAAGGCAGGGAAGGAATACATTTTAGAAAAGTGGAAACCAAAATTATTAAACAAGGGTATGTGGAGCTTTCTGGTACTATTCTTGAAACTCTTCTGTAACTTTGAAATTATCAAATTAAAAGGTATAAAAATAGTTAAAACAATTTTAAATGTTAGCACTTAAAAGGGAAAACTTCAGTCACCGTATTCCACAAAGTTAACACAATGACTGCCATAATGGATCTGGAAAACACATACGCCATGCTTAGTATGTTCCCTGAACCAAGCACGCCTGCAGATTACCGTCATTCCCTCTGTTCTGCATCCTAATTACCCACCTTACAGATTTTACCCTTTGAATTTATCTTACTTTATGGAAAATGAGCTAACTAGTAATTAAAGGGATCCAAAGACAGATAAGATACAAAAGAAGCTGGAGTGGAGAGAGTAGTAAGAGGCAGAAGGAGGGACTAGAAGAGATCAGTTAATCAATTAACTAGATAAACATGTTCTGAAATGAGCACACATAGCAGCAGCTCTATTTTATCTCTTCTTTGGTAGACGAGGAAGGAAACTAACCCCAAATACTTGACTCTCATACAATATATGTACATCCCGTATATTTTTTATGTACACATATTCCAAAAAGAGATATGAGTTTATTTTTTCTAAATACAAACACTAAGCAAACATTATGCTAATTGAAAAAGTGCCTAGAGAGCCACACACATCCACATCGTTAAATATAGAAACTAACTGTAATGAGAATCATTATCTCCAGTTTCCAAGGATACCAGGGTAAGCACTACTCCTAAATTGCAGTTAATTCAGCAAAGGGCACAAAGTAATTTATATTCAGGGTCATCTCTGCTGACAGCAGATACAGAAGGAAGGCCAGGGTAAACCACCCTGTTTTTCTATTCTGTTTGTTACTCACTCTAATTCCCAACCCCCAACCCCCATCCCCTGGTCCCAACCCTGGCCAATGTTTTATGGGTAAAATTTGGAAAATCTGATGGTAAACAGCAACTTCCAAGAGCAACAGAATCCACAAAGGGCAGGGCCGTAAGAGATGCGAATAACGCTGGGGGGTTGGGAAGGCTGGCATTCCTCTTTGCTTTGTTTGTGAAAAGGAGAGAAGCCTGCTTTTGTGTGCCTGCCACACCAGTGGCCCCCTTTCCCAGTGCCTGTAAGGGAACTGTACAGTTAATTTCAACTTCCCACCCAACCAAGGCTATCCAAGCTTTTAGAGCTTACCCCTCCTAAACTGTCACAGCGTCTAGAATCAAATTCATTTTCAATTTTCTCTGTCTTCTTGACTCTAGGATCTAGACGTTTCATACGATTACTTACAATTGGTTTCTATAGCTTTAATATAAAAACTACTTTCTGACAACTTCAGAGAGATTGCCTCTGAATTATTTTGTTCTTGTTGTTTATTCAAGGCTATTTATTGCTTTCAACATGACACGCACTGTACCAGGTGAGGGAGGCAGTGATGAGAAATGATATGAGACTTCACTTTTGATCTCCAGGGAAAGTATCAAAAACAGGCCATGTCACTTAGGCAGTTTAAAAAGAGGCATTCCCCTCTCAGTCAAATTTTCACTTACTAAAATAGTGATGTGGATTTCATGGATACTTTAGATTTACCTTAAACTTACAGAAATTAAAATATAAATATATAAAATATATATAAATAATATCCAGATAAAACAGCGGTTTTCCATTTAGTTCCTCCCCATCACCTGTCCACTCAATACAGTAAGACATACTATGTAGAACTCAGCTGGGGCAGAGATAATTGTAAGGGAAGAAAAGCTCTCCCAGCCTTCATGTGTTTCTTCCTGATGGGCATGAGACTGCATCAGGCTAAGCTTCTTATCTTAATGTGAGGATGTAGGCAAATAAATTGCCTGTTTTGATAACTGAGGTCTTCTGAGACTTTCCTCTTTTGCACCAGTTACAGTAATTGAAACTGCTCACTGCTTCTCTTTAAGAGAAGGAATGAAATACAACAAACGTTTCTAATAGTTATGTAACATTTCAGTATACCTCAATAAGGCAAGATGTTTTAATATTAACAGTTAATACAAAAAGTACGTTTCTGAAAATTTTTTCCTGTACATTTTTGATAACTTGAATGCTACATACTCAGTTGCACTGTCTTGATGATTTCGGTACCCAATCCTTTTTTTTTTTAAAAAGCTACTTTTGTACTGAAATATTGTTTCTAAATTCAATAAACAATATAGTAATAATATCAAATTTTAAAACTATATGAAATGGGAAGTTAGTCTCAATTCTGTTAAAAGTTTTGCCAGTAATTATTTTGGTGTATTATTCTGACACCTATTATTTCTCACAAGGGGCAACATTTTGAGGTAAGATGGCTTCAGAGAAGATTCTATGACTGAATCTTGCAGCTTGCAAAACACTTAAATTGAGAAGGTTCAACTAAACAGGCCACCGTTTAACCTTTCTCCTGGCCTCACGGGAAGCTAATGCTCCCGAGGGCGAAAACACAAAACACAAAAAGCGTTCACAAGTCACTGGCAGAAAGGTCATCCTCTGGTTTATCACCTTTTCTGATAACACAGAGGAGTTTTCACAAAACCTCTAAGGTAAAAACCGGCTTACATTAAGAAACAGAATTGTATTCCCTAATCGTGCGTAATCAACTTTTTTTCTTTTCATCTTCAGCGCTGCAAATACCCCATCCAACCGATTCTGGAGCCTAAAACTTGGACTGGAGCCACTTGGCTCTCCGGATGAAGAAACATCAGATGGTCGCCTCCTTTCTTCCTTCAATTATTCTAACATGTAAATTACGGTCTTGCGTACTGCATGTATCTTCGAAAATACTTTATAGTAGCTGACCACCCACCCACCTCCACTTCACTAGCAAGTGTCCAATTGGCAACGCTCAAAGATCATAAAGGCAGCAAAAACGCCCCTGCGGGCTGTCACAAATTTTTAAAAAGTGGATTAAGGACAACCAGAAATGGGCAGCTCTGACACGCGAGGCCACCGTCCCCCGCGCCGGTCTGGCGCAGCTCAGATCCTGGGCCCAGCTCGGAGCCCTCCAGCCTCCAGCGCAGCCTCTCCGGGCCTCACCCCTCGGCGGAGGCTGGGGCGGCGGACACCGCCGTTGTCCCGGGTGCCGTCCTGCCGAGGGCGGGGGTGGCTGGGCTGCGCGAGCGTCGGGGTGGAGGTGACACCGTAGCCGGAGAGTTGCGAGGGGAAGGCGACGGTAGCGCGAGTGGAAGGAGGCTGCCGCGAGGCTGTTTTCGGCCGCGGCGCCGGCCGAGAAGCAGCCAGTTGGCGGCGCACGGGGCGCGACAGGCTCCGGGGTGGGGAAAGCGGGCGCGCGGCGCCGTGCGCTCGGCGTCCCGGCGTCCCGGGACTGTCGAGTGGGCGGCGGAGGGGGCGAGGGGCGAGCGCAGAGGCCGCTGAGTGGCCGGGCCGGCCCTCCGGGGGCGGGGTAGGGCCGAGCGAGGGCGGGCGCGCACTCACCTATGCACAGCTGGATGGCGTAGGCGTAGTAGGACCAGCCGAGCAGGAGGCTGATGAACACCACGGGGATCCAGTACAGGACCCGCCGGCACCGCCGCCTGACGCTGCCCGGGCCCGAGGGCGCCATCTTCCAGCCGCATCCACCTGCCCAGCTCCGCCGCCGCCTCCGCCGCTGCCCGCGGGCCTGGCTCCGGGGCTGGCTGGCCGCGCCCGGCGTCCCCGGCGGGACGGGCCCGGGGGCGGCGGCCGGTTGCGCCGCGGCCACTGCCGCCGCCGTGGCGCTAACTCCCCATCCCGCAGCCCCGAGCCGGCGCCGCGGACTCCCGGCTCCTCCGTCCGGCGGAGGCGGTGGCTGCGAGAGGAAGGCGCGGAGAAGGCGGACGGTGAGGAGGCGGAGGCGGAGGCGGAGGCGGAGGCTGAGGAGGTCCGGGAGGAGGAGGCGGCGGGAGCCTCCGCCCCGCCTCCGCGCGTCCCGCCCGCGCCCCAGCCCCCCCGCGGCCGCCTGCCCGGCGCGGCCCGCTGCGCCCCCCGGCGGCCTCTCGCGGCGCTCCGGGCTGTCCCCGCTGCGCCCCGGGGCCTCGCGCCCTCGTCGCTGGGCACCTCAGGGGCGCCCGAGGCGGGGAGTGAAGGCGCCCACCTTGGCCCTTCCGCCTCCGGCTTGGCCCCTGGGCTGGAGCGAACGCGCCGGGCCGGGGGCGAGGACCCTTGGCGGCGGACACGGGCCGCGGAGACGCGCGCGGGGCATGGCCGGGGAGGGGCAGTCCCGGGAGTCGTGTGCACTGACCGGACTCCTCGCCGGCCCCGCGCGGACCGGGCGAGCCGCCACCCCTGGGGATGCGCCTCGACGACGTCCTTAGGCGCCGGGGCCAACGTCCCTGCCTCCTGCTAGGAAGGGAAGCCTCTACTTGCGGGTCCCGCTAAACAGGCGGGGGTCAGCGAGGGCGGGGCTGGTGCTCCAGACCCGGAGGCTGGCGCGAGCGGCTGGGGCGCCTCCTTTGCACGGGGCGTTTTGGGGGGACGCGGGAATGCACCACCAACAGGGGCTGCGGGGCCGACGTCCGCCGTGGACTGTGCGTGAGGAGGAACACCTTGGGTTGTGAATCCAGAAACCACCGGAGTTAGAAACACAAATCATGTGCTCTGAGAATTTGAACTCTTTTAAGCCACTTAGGGATTGTAGGAGCAACCATCGCCACCGCCTCCTCCGGAAAGGCCGGGGCTTCTCTTGGTGTACGCTTTTTTCCCAGCCGGTTCTTCACTACAGTGTTTTCTTTTGTGGTGGCAATTCTCAACTGAGCATACAGCTGGTTCTAAAGTGGTTGCTAAAAACCCCGAAAGAATCCTGAAGGTAGTGAGACTGAAGGCCCGGCTTTATGGTTGGTGAAACGGAAAAGAAACGAATGCTTCTGAGATTGTTTTCTTTCTCCTTTCCTCTGATTATGAACGCACCTGACTCCGCATGGAAGCACCCCAGTAAATGGAGTGTCTCTGAATTATGTGCATAATCATTATATATAATGTGCACGATTTTAACATTAATGAATATATGTGTGTACACTACACAGCAACCATATTGGATGAAATGACTTCGTATTCATCTGTAGAATGAACAGATAAAAAGAAGTACTGATTTGCATAAAGAAATTTAAGCTCTTATGTCTTTGCGATTATCTTTCTGAGATCATTTCTATCCCAGTGAATCACTGTATATTGGTATAACGCCTTATACCCTTTATGGATATCCTATAGGGTAGGTTAATATAAGAACATAACTTCCTTGGAATACTCAACTTTTCCCATGGATATCAAATTTATGCTCTCAGTCCGAAGACTCTAAAAACAAGAAACAAAAGTTCGTACCAGGACTGATATACCTCCACAAAATGAGAAAATCAGTGTTGAAGGTCACTGAAAAATTTTAAGGAATGAAAAGTAAGGGATCAATTTTCCCATACTGGAAACAGTGGAAGAAAGCGCAAAGTGTGCCTCTTTAGATATTAGATGCTATAGCGCCCTGTGCTGCTTCTCTGCAAAGAGTCTTACAGGGTCTTGAGATCAGAAATGGAGAACATTCGACAGTTTTCACATCTTTTACCCTTTTGGAAGAATATGCAGGTGTAACATCTTTGAAGGAGGCGACTTTTTTTTTTTTAAGATGCTTTTTTAAAAAATTTAATTTTTGGCTGCGTTAGGTCTTCGATGCTGCACGCAGGCTTTTCTCTGGTTGCGGTGAGCGGGGGCTACTCTGTTGCGGTGCTCGGGCTTCTCATTGTGGTGGCTTCTCTTGTTGCGGAGCACGGGCTCTAGGCGCACGGGCTTCAGTAGTTGTGGCATGGGGGCTCAGTAGTTGTGGCTTGCGGGCTCTAGAGTGCAGGCGCAGTAGCTCAGTAGTTGTGGCGCACGGGCTTAGTTGCTCCGCGGCATGTGTGACCTTCCCGGGACAGGGCTTGAACCCATGTCCCCTGCATTGGCAGGCGGATTCTTAACCACTGCGCCACCAGGGAAGCCCCGAGGCTACATTTTTATTATGTATCTAACATGCTATTGTTCATATTTATAATAAATATTTGTGGAATAATCGCAACCTATTTTGAGTCATTTTAAGAGTACTACTATTACTGAGTTCTCCAAGGGTATCACTCTTACCTAAAAAAGAAAGTCTATCTCAGGAATAATTGTCTCTAAAGCCACATGATGATAGGATTTAGCTCTGCCTAGGCTCTAATTAGACAGGCATGAACATGCATGCACAAATGTAAGCTCTTTGGGGAGTAGCCAATCTCTAGATATTAGGCTCTGATGAGAGTGGAAAGGTAACTTTAATTTTTAGGATCAGAGAGCCTTTTTTTTGGCTTGATTTAGAGCTGTGCATCAACAAGAAAACAATTTGAAGGTCATCAACCGTTAAGAAGAAACTTCACTGGAGACTTAAGAGAGGAACTTCACCGGAGACTTAAGAGAAAAGTACAGAAGGTTCAACTCACCAATTTTAGATACCCAGTAAGTCATATTATGAATTCCATGTAATAATTTTGATAAAACTGCTACAGCTATTTATGAAAAAACGAGCCAGCCACTGCAAAGGAGGGAAAGGGTAACACAAAGGCAAAGAAGAAGGGGACGGCCAGGCAAGCATCAGGGCAGGGGAGCATCTGAGAAGAGCGAGTCCCCCTGACCTGGCCCACGCAGTCCCCAAGAACCGTAGCTCCGCCCTTACCAGACCTCTGCCTCCATGCTCCACCCACTCAGCAGTTTTATGGAAGTCATTCACTTTTCAAAACCCCTATCATCATACCCTGACCCCCACATAGGAAACGATCTTTCTCTTCTCCAGTCAAGATCGACTTTGAAATAGTCCCCAGATTCTCCAGTCCCCAAACCTCAAATCTGTCTTGCCATCCCGGCTAATACTCCAAATCTTCCTCCTACTTCCAGATCCAGATTAAAAATGTTTACTTATTGCCTTTCATAGTATGAATCGAGAATAGCCTGAAGCAAGCCCAGGGAGCCCCTGGACCCAGCCTGTCCCTGGGGAGCATGGACCTCCCTTAGAGCGGTCCGAAAAAAATACCGATAGATCCTCTTTCATTGTTTTCTTAAACTAAGCTTATCACTCTTTTGGGGAAAAGAAAAATCCCTTTAGAAGTCAGAAATCCATGACATCAAGGACTCCAGTATTAATTTGCATTTTCGTAATAGTGGCCACGATATTCTCTGTGGGACCTTAATAGTATGCCCAATCCACGCATCGTTTCTGGACACAAGTAACATAAAAGCAGTCTTAGTGAACTTGGTTTAGGGAATGTGGTTCAAAGTGCTGCTAAGATACACTTTGGTTCTCAGAAATTTATAGTTTGCAGTCAACCTGGTGTGGAGTGGAATGGAATATAATGGAAGAGAATTTCAAAGTCCTAAGGAGTATCTGGTGGATTGGGTTAAAACGTTAGGAAAACAGTAAAGTGGGAAAAACTCTGGCAAACCTTGCCTTTCAAGCCCTGTGGGATCTCATGATAGTGTTAATAGCATCTTGCCACTAGAGGGCAGGCGCACACCAAGCGGTGCAGCTCTCCTGACATCTTTCTGTAGAGATTTCGATAGAATCAGCCGCTAGTTTAACCAAGCCAATTATAAATTATGAATTATAACTGCATGACTAATTATATATACTTATAACTAATTATAATTATTTTATATTTATACAATTTTATGCTATAATTTAGTGGCTAATGAAAACCATATTCAGAAAATTGAAAAGAATGCAAATTGCTCTGTTTCTGCTTCCACTTCTTTACAGTTTGCACGAAGGTTAATCTCTTTAGAAATAAAATTGGAACTTTTCACTTAAATGAGTGCTTTTGCCTACACCAGCCCCCCCTCCCTTGCCCCTACATGGGGAGAAAGCAGAATCTATGAACCCAAAAGGTGAGCAGGTATTTCCTCTCCATGGACTGGCATGATCTTTAAGTGGTGACACAATGGCAAAAGTTCAATTAGAGATGATGAGACGTGGCCACTGTGTGGAGAGGAGAGTTCAATGGCCAGCAGAGAATGACCAAGGGCAGCAGAATCCTGCAGTGTGGTGGCGAGCGTCCAGCAATGTCAAGGCCAGCAATGGCATCCTAGGAGCCTGTTCTCAGTGGCAGGCCCTTGGCCAGGCATCAGCTTCCTCTGTGTCAGCTCAAGCTTGATTCTCCAGGCTTCTGGTTGATTCTGTGGGGTGTATACATACTCGCAAAGACATTTTTTATGTAAGTCCACTGGCATTGACTTGTGTTTGCAACCAAGAACTTTGACTGGAACAGAATTTTAATTTCATTCAGCATCCCATTTCTTAAAGGGTCATGGAGACCAAGGCATTATGAGAAATAGGGATACAGGAATTTGGGGACAGGGGAGCCAACTTGGTGCCTTCAAATTGCACTCTCCAGACCTGCACTGTCCAGTAAGTACCACTAGCCACGTGTGGCTTTTCAAATTTAAATTAAAATTAATTAAAGTAAAATAAAATAATTCCATTTCCTTAGTTGCAGCAGCCCATTTCAAGTGCTCAGAGCCACATGTGGCTAGTGGCTACCGTACTGGACAGTGAAAATCTAGAACATTTCCGTCATCACAGAAGGTTCCATTGGAAGCGCTGACTAATCTTGTCTGAATATTCATGAGGCAAGCTCTATATTTATAATTGCAAGAAACAAAATAATTGCCTCTAATTAGATCTCTACTGTTTTAAAAAAAAAAAAAAAAAAAAAAAAAAAAGAGAGGTAATAGGAAGTTAAAGACACTTTTAGGTTAATAGTATTAGGAGCTTTCTTCCTTTGAAGACAAGAATCTAAAGA